ATGATTATTGTCACTGAAAGGACACCTGCCACTTTATAACTCTGTGCAGTTCAGTTTATTGCAATGATGCAAAAGTAGGTGGTGAGTGTGAGTGTAACCTACATGCAATCATTCTCTCTACATTATTCTCCTGTCTCCCAATTTGGTCCCTCACCACAAAGGAAACCAGTGAATTAAAAGCAAGACTTTACAACAGAGCCAACAAGAGTCATGACACCTTTCCCCCTCGGACTCACCGCTGCACTCTCACCTTCCTACGCCCTGACGTTTGGGAACTACATGAATAATCGAGCCATTAAATTTTGCTTTCAGATCAAAAACAATAAGTCCTATCCTTTAAGTGCTTTACTTCAACGTCACAACACAAGACAGACATAATAATTGCTAAATGCTACTCTTAATTGGTTTCCTGTATAAATAAATGAAAGTAAATGAAATGGGATTAATGGTCTGGCTGCTTCTCAGCTGGTCCAACTCCAACACTGTTTGCTGTACAGTAACTGTCTGACCTGTGTTAGTAAATTTTAGTTTTCTATCCTTTCATTCACTTTGATCTTCTATGGCAATGCAGAATACTTTATATTATTAATTAATTTAGGAATCATTAATGATCTTGATCATAGGAAGATTTTCTAAGTTTTCAAATTCAACACCACATCCAGTCTGGCCAGCAAGAGCTTTTAATATCAGTGAGTTTACAACTTGAAGCACAGGCTGAATATGTCATGCAAAATAACAATAAGCACGATTATATCTGACAGAAGGAACATCTGAGAGACTAGAAAATTGTTTTCTTGACAAAAACATAAAATATTCATGAGGGAATTGGAAAATCAAACTGGAAATTCCTAAAAAACAAGTCTCATGAAAAGTTACCATACGTCAAAACACCAAATTGCAGAGTGTATAGGCCTAACCATCAGCTACAACTGAATTAAACCCAAGTGGTCAATTTCAATCATCCATGACTGACAATTTTATTGTATTTTCTTCTATTGATTAATTAACTGAGGTTTTTTTCACTGCATTGCACAGCACCATGTGCGCACCTAGCAGCTGAACACAAATCAGACTACAGGAAGCAATGCAGATGAGCTCTGATAAACTGCTCTGAACCAGCTGACTGTGACTTCAGCTTCAGTAACATGACACAAAGATAATGAAGCAAAGGTGAATAACGTCATCATGCAGTAAAGAATATATTTTAATACTTGCAGTAATATCTGATAATGTCTTTGCTTGTCAAACTTGTGATTAAATGTCCCAGTAAATCAGCCGACACTGTCATAATAACTTTTAAATGTATGAGTTATTGTTATTTGTAAAGAATTTACAGCCAGATCAGAAAGGAAATTGAACATTTCACAGCTGAGGGACACGGTCAAAATGAGGTTATTCTGGAGGCACTACATCTCCCAGCATTCCAAGGGGTGCTTGGAGAACTCAGGGGAGGAAATTCACAGTGAACTCTTCAATGCAGCATCACCTGCAGGTAAATGTATGGATTATTGTGATGGACATTTCATTACAGTTGGACAAGATATAAACATCTGCTGCACAGGTACTTCCTATTCCTTGACTTCGGTGTTGCTGAGTTGGTCACTGATTTCATCAAAGTAATTGTCTGCGAAGCGAAGCATCTGCATGACAGCACTGAGCAGCAGGACGTCGCAGCTCAGGTCCAACTCCAGCTCCTCGCAGTAGTTCTTCACTGGCACAACACAGGACACTGGCACACCGAGCTGAGCGCTGACCTCCTGCATCTGGATCACAAAACATTTACATGAGAGGTTAATTTATTTTCTAAAGACCTTGTGTCAAACTTTGTGAAATTCAGGAAAAACTCCAATGTCAAATGTCTCATAAATCTTGTACATTTTATTACCTGCCACCTCACTCATGTATTGTTACTCAAGTACTTCAATAGATGTGAGTCTGATTTACCAAATAATTTTAGGGCCTTTAAGTTCCTGACGTGAGGAGGAGGAGGAAAATAAAGACTCTCAAATTGGTGTTAAAACATCTTCAGTACTTCACCAGTCAAGTACATTGAATCAGTCTGAATTAGATAACACACTAAAGCAAATAAAACAGACTTTGACTAGCTTGTTAGCTTAAATCTTTCCTTTGACTAATAAATAAACACACACCACAACTCTACAGTACAACAAATCCTTTTGCATTTTTTTCTTCTGTATAAAATCATCAAATCTTTTTGTATATGAAATCCTCACTATTTCCTTGATGTAGCCACTCTTGTAAATGTTTTTCACGTCCTCTTTCACCAAAGGGCAGGCTTCATCTACTTTAGTGAGCAGGACCAGCTGAGGAATTCCTGAAAACAGAGCAGAAAGAACATTTTAAAAACACTGTAGCTCTACAGGTATCAGGCTGTAAATATTGACACAATGCTTCTGAAATATTCTAAAATATTTGGTTGTAATTTAAATGCCTCCTCTATAACTTAAGGGCAGTTCTAAAATAAAATGTATATGTTTTTCTTGAACTAACTTTTCTTAGATATGGGTTAAAAGGATCCTGTGAGGAGATGCTAGTATGAAGAACGAGACTGTCTGCATGTTGAGGTGTCAAACAAACACAGGACTTTCACCCAGGTGACCAGGGTTTGTGTCCTGTATGAAACCAAAATCAGCATTGAGTTGCTTTAACTATGTGACGTAAGTGACGAATGTCACGTGAGATACATTACATTAATTATATACAAAAATCTGCTCCTGGGCTGATAATGGATCCTTAACCTACACATGTGTGAAACAGGAACCTGCTGACCCATATCTATGAGGTTGATTACACCATTTAACTGAGTGATAACTTTTGAAATGGGTGGAGTCATTAACTCTCCAGTAAGCAATAAATTGAGATTTCAGACAGTAACTAATCGCCTTTTTGCATTATCATGCGACTAGATTTCACATTCCTAAAATATGCAGTATTTCTTTGGGGATTGTTAGGACATGGTTCCGCTCCATTTGGAAAATGTTTGAGGACACTGCACGGTGCATAGATTTCATACTTCAGCTGTTTCTATAAGAAGTTGAAACCCTCATGATTTTAATAAACTTAAAACTATAGTTTGTTCCTTTTAGAAAAATATATAGTCATATAATTTTTCTATATTTGCTGAAACTGTCATTGTATTCAAACAGCACTAAATGACGCAGATAATCTTTGACAAAAATCATATTCCTCTGCCCACTCTATTGCCATGTAGCGCTTCTAATGGCCTTACTGCATGTGAACAAAAACAACCAATGAGAGTCGAAAGGTCTCTAACGCAGCTATCAGTCATGCCAGTCATTGTTCATAAACTGAGGTCAAACTGTCAAACTAGGCAGCTCTGATGAAATATGAATCAAGATTCTGTTACTGTATTGCTTATTTATCACCTCAAATGTTTTCAGAAACATATTTTAGTGCATTGTTTAGCTGTAAAATGAGAGACCGGTCCAGCTGTTGGGAGGTGCTTGGTACTCTGTTTATCCAACATGGCAGCCAGGTCAAAAACTTTCTAATTTGACAGCTGCACAGTACACTAAAATGTTTCTGAACCCATCTGAGGCAGAATCGTGATTCATATCTGATCAGTGCAGCCTAGCTTGACAGTTTGATTGCAGTTCACTGAGTGACGGACATGCATTAGAGAATCCTCAGCTCTGATTGGCTGTTTTGAGTGTGCCACGATTCTAGCATATGCCATCAGAGGCAGTTGAAGGGGTGGGGACATGATTTTTTTTTTCCAGATTATTTATCTCACGTATTTCTTTTAGAGTGTAGTGACAGTTTCAGCAATTATGAAACAAAGTTATTTCAGTCAGGAACACTTTAAAACTTTATTTCCATTTGCAGTATTATATTTGGTGGTATGGCATCTGTTCTGGGGCCCCTCTGCCTTTCCTTGGGCCAACGCAGAAAGACTCTTCCACGCGCCTACATGGAAAGCATAAGGCG